GTTTCGTTCTATCTGGAACTCGTCAGCTGAATGTACCTGCATCTCAGAGTTGTTGTTCGCTCTGGGACTACGAACCTAGTATAGTTTTCTTCAAACGCCGTTGCGTCATCCACTTAGCTACTGAGTCCTGATAGTCCCCTGCTTGTGCAATAAGGTGAAGTATAAATTCACTTGGTGAACATCAACTCTAGGATGCAGGTACATCCAGCTGACGAGTCTCAAATAGGACAAAATGAGCGTCCTGGATTCCACTTTTAACTACTATCCATCTTTGTCTAAATATAATTGTTTATGATTCTCATATTATCTATTTATTTTATATTAAACAAGATCTGTTTAAAGATGTTGATAGTTTCTTTCATTCTTATTAATCCTTAACTCGTCTATGGGTTAATTTAAATCTAGTCATTTAATATAATATATTTATCACCATAACCATCTTGTTCATTATGTTACTGTTAGATGAACATTTCCTTCGTTATATCACTATCTAAATGATTTCTTATTTGTTTAACGTAAATAAGCTGATAAAATAATAGTCCACTGAGACTATAATTTATGGACGACATTTGAGCGATGCAGAAGTGGCTTTAAGAAAATTCACCTACCAAATAGAGTTTAGAGAGGGTTACAAATTAGTGTGAGAAATTAGAATCGAGATTTAGCGTGTCAAAGAACAATTTATCAGAAGAGGGTTTTTGGAGATTTTTAGAAATTTCAATAGTTGAATTCATGAGTTAATTGAAGCTAAACCACCATGGAAAACCTGGAAACAATGGACAGCCGTTTCGTCCTAGTATGGGATTCCTCATCCATGATCCCGCCCCCCCTCCGAGAGATTCGAACGGCCGTCCAGTGCTTCTAGGTTTTCCATGGTGGTCTAGCTTCAATTGACTCATGATTTCAACTATTGATAAAGACAATTTAACTATATGAATTAATCCGTCCATAAATATGAGAATCATACAATGAATACTTCATTCACAAATTTCCATCATTTGTATTTCATATTCAGTGTGATTCTTGTAGTTCATAATTCCTGTCTATTTTCCTTTCTATTTTCTTCAACTCGAACTTCTTAGCTTTCTTCTGTCATGTTTTTCATTTCCGACTGCTATTACATACTACTTTTGTCTGTCGATATAAGTAGCATATACCACGCTTATATTTTTCTACACTTCAACTAACAACAAAATACTCATATTCTCATTCTTAATCTCTTCCGTTATTTGTAATTATTTTTTTTACCTCCCCTCACTGACAATTTAATTATAAATTGTATCTATCGAAAAAAACTTTCTCTTTAGTAACTGTTTAAGTAGACTAGTGTTGTAATTGTCTAACCATTTAAACATTCCAACTCATTTGATTTTTGTCTTCAACACCACTTTCCTCATTGTTACTCGAGTCAATCAAACTGAATTGATTTCAAGGAAATACTTGACCATCAATAAAATGAAAGAAAAAAACACGAATTTTTAGTCCGACTATTTCATTTTATCTGAAAATCAAAGAATAAGTAATAATGTGTCGCTCAATTTCATTGATTAGTTAAAGTTAGAGATTAACATCGTTGGATGCTGGCTGGCTCAGTGGCCTAGAGGTTAAGGACTCGCGCGCTAGACTGTTATATCCTGGGTTCAAATCTCTAGAGGCGGGATTATGGATGGGCATCGGTGAGGATTCCCACAATAGGACGAAATGGCCATCCAGTGCTTCCAGGCGTTCCATGGTGGTGTAGCTTTAATTGATTCATGATCTCAACTATTGGAATAAATAAATATTGAATAAAATTAATGCATTTCTTGTTCCAATGCATTTTATTATCACTACGGTAAAAAAAACTACGTTACTTCATCTCTTATACAAAAATGCGACATAATGAGTAATGAAAATATTGTCGACATTAACCATTGTCCATTCTCAACTCTCCACATCTGACGGGAAGAACAAAATAGAATGAACAGTTTGAAAGCAACTGGTCGATTTGGCAACGCAGATGACCTAGTCCTCCTATCACATACACACAAATAGGTGCAGATGAAGACAGTTAGTGTAGCAACAGCCCCTGTAGCAGCAGGCCTCAACACGCACAATGGAAAAACCACGATCCTCAAATACAACATGGAGTGCACTAATCCAATCGCACTTGATGGGGAAACTCTGGAAAAGGGGGAAACTTTCACGTATCTGGGTAGCATCATCAATGAATAAATAGGATCGGATATAGGCGTAAAGGCGAGGATTGGCAAAGTAAGGAGAGCATTCCTACATGTGGAACTAAAAACAACTGCCAACTAATATCAACATGAGCGTCAAGACAGTTCCACTGTACGGAAATGAAACTTCGAGAATTACTATAACAATCATCAAAAAGACACAAGTATCGATAAACAATTGTGTAAGCAAGATATTCAATGTCCGTTGACGGGGTACTATCAGCAACAACTTACTATGGAAGAGAAAAAACCAGCTTCCAGCTGAGTAGGAAATGATGAAAAGATGTTGGATGTGGATAGGACACATGTTGTGAAAATCATCAGACTGCATCACTAGACAAGCGCTAACTTGGAATCCTGAAGAAAAATTGAAAAGTGGAAGATCAAAGAACACACTACATCGGGAATTAGAAGCAGACATAAAAAGGATGAATAGGAAATGGAAACCACTGAAAAGTATTGCCCAGAACAATGTTGGATGAAGTGTGTTGGTAGGTCAATTATGCTCTACCATGACGTGGGCTAACTGTTGGGATGACCACCGAGAAGCCACCCACGTACATAGTCGATTGACTAAGTTATCGATTAATTTATCGATCAGATGTTAAGTATTTGAATAGCAGAGTGTCAGAGATTAGTAAATTTGAAACATGATACCTCCATGGTCGAGAACAATAGCCGGCCGTCATACGTGCATGCTGTTAGTGAAAAGAAAGACTCCGGCTCACAAAAACCATACAGCACAGACAATCAGCCGTCATCTCCTTGCTGGTCATGTGGAGGTTGGCATTACAAGAAGTTTTGTCCATACAAAGAATATTTCTGCACTAAATGTCACAAAAAGGGTCACAAAGAAACCAGATGTAGAAATAAAACTCGCAGACGTTACTCTTCACAAGTCTATTCCAAGAAATACAGATCTGGTAAGAAAACGAACAAAATATTAGTATCTCATAACCAGACAAGAATTCACCGCCGAAGAAAGTATGTGACCGTGGACATGAATGCACACCGTGTCCGTCTTCAACTTGACACAGCATCTGATATCACCCTAATCAGTCCAAAAACTTGGGAGAAAATTGGGAGACCTACAGTTCACCAAACGAAGCAACTAGCGCACAGCGCATCTGGAGGTAAGCTTAATATTGTTGGGGAAATAACGTGCAATGTTTCGAAAAATGAGGCAACAACGAGTGCAACTGTTTATTTAACCAAGAACCCGGAACTCGATTTATTGGGGTTGGATCTAATAGATGCATTAAAATTAGCAGATCATCCTCTCAACAATATCTGCAGCCAAGTCAGAATCAATAACCCCTTAGAGTCAAGTCAGAGAAATGCCATTATAAAAAGGCATCATCACGTGTTTTCAGAAGGATTGGGCGAATGCACGAAAGCCAAAGCACTACTGACTCTCAAGTCAACATCTATTCCTGTTTTTCGACCAAAAAGACCTGTACCTTATGCTTCTCTCCCAGTAGTTGAACAGGAACTAGAACGGCTTCAAAAAATGGGTGTCATTGAACCTGTGAGTTTCTCCAATTGGGCTGCACCGATTGTGGTGGTCAAGAAGTCAAACGGCAGTGTCCGTCTATGCGCAGATTACTCTACTGGACTGAATGATGCGCTAGAACCCCACCAGTATCCTTTGCCTATACCTGAGGATCTTTTTGCTAAGCTGAATGGAGGCAAGGTGTTTGCAAAACTGGATTTATCAGAAGCTTACTTGCAGATTCCTGTCGCGGATGAAAGTAAAGATCTGCTTACTATAAACACTCACAAGGGCCTATTCCGATATAATCGGTTACCTTTTGGAGTCAAAACGGCCCCCTCCATATTTCAACAGGTGATGGATACTATGCTACATGATCTCCCTGGTGTTGCAGCTTATCTGGATGACATAATAATTATGGGCATTGACAGAATAGACCTAGAAAAGAAGCTCGACCGGGTGCTATCGAGAATAGCTGAATATGGATTCCGGCTTCGTGAAGAAAAATGTGACTTTTGCATGGAGAGAGTACGCTACCTCGGTTTTATCATTGATAAGGACGGGAGAAAACCAGATCCAGAGAACACTCAAGCTTTGAAAGCAATGCCGAGACCGACAGATGTTCCCACACTTCGATCCTTTTTGGGGCTAGTGAGTCATTATGGAGCTTTTATCCCTGACCTTCATCGTTTACGTGCCCCATTAAATAGTCTTTTAACAAAGAACGCAAAGTGGTGTTGGTCTAAAAGTTGTCAAACTGCTTTCGAGAAGATCAAGAAACTGCTACTCTCGGATCTGTCGTTGACCCACTATGACCCATCCCTACCTATTGTAGTGGCATCAGATGCTTCAAACTACGGCATTGGAGCAAGCATTTCGCATATCATGCCTGATGGGTCTGAAAAAGCTATCTCACACGCTGCCAGATCTTTGACAACGACCGAAAGAAACTATAGTCAAATTGAGAAGGAAGCCCTATCAATTATCTTTGCAGTAAAAAAATTCCACAAGATGTTATATGGTCGAAATTTCACCCTATTAACAGACCATAAGCCACTGCTTGCAGTTTTTGGGTCAAAGAAAGGGATTCCTGTTCATACAGCTAACCGACTCCAACGTTGGGCAACCACACTTCTGGGTTACGACTTTAAGATCAAGTATCAGTCAACTACCGCTTTTGGACAAGCTGACGCGTTGTCAAGATTAATAGGCTCCCAATCAAAAACCCTAGAGGAAACCGTTGTAGCAAACATAAAAGCCGAGAAAGAAGTTCATCGCGTATTGGTTGACGCAATCGATGGACTTCCAGTAACTTTTGAAATTATCAAGAAGATTACTGAAAGTGACAAGATATTGAGCACAGTTAAATGCTATCTTACGACCAAATGGCCAAACAATCGTCTTGATGGAGAACTCTTGCAATATTTTCGTCGACGGGACTCACTAATGATTGTCGACTCGTGTATTATGTTTGGTGATCGAATTGTTATTCCGAAGTTATTACGTCACAAGGTTCTCAAGCAGTTCCACAGTGGCCACCCTGGAATCAATAAAATGAAATCGTTGGCTCGTAGTTATGCTTATTGGCCGTCAATGGACAAAGATATCGAGAATAAATGCCGTAACTGTCCATCATGCATTCAAGCTGCTAAAAATCCTTTGAAATGCGAACCTCAGTATTGGCCAACGCCTGCAGGACCCTGGGTAAGACTTCATGCAGATTTTGCTGGTCCAATCCATGGAAAAATGTTTCTAATTATCGTAGACGCATTTACTAAGTGGCCAGAAGTATATACCATGGCAAATTGTACAACGTCAGAAACAATCCACAAGTTGTCTACCTTATTTAGCTGCTTCGGAGTTCCAGAGATCGTAGTAACTGATAATGGCTCGCAATTCATTGCAGAATCGTTTAAGTATTTCTGTAACGCAAATGGAATAACTCATCTTCGTTCTCCGCCCTATCATCCACAATCGAACGGACAAGCAGAACGCTTTGTGGACACTTTTAAACGAGCACTACTGAAAGGGGGAGGCGAAGGGACAACTGGACAGGTAATCACAAAATTTCTGACAACCTACAGAACCACTCCGAACCCAAATGTTCCAGACGGTAAGTCTCCTGCCGAAGCCATGTTTGGAAGGCGTATTCGAACCGTTTTCAACGCCATGTTGCCATCGAAATTTGTGTACGGGCACAATCAAAATCCAAATATGCGGAACTTTAATGTCGGCGACGAAGTTTTCATTAAATCCTACACCGGAAAGAACCGATGGGAGCCGGGAAAAATTGTACAAAAGTTAGGAAAAGTTCTGTACAGAGTCCGAGGAACTTTTGGAACATGTATACGACATACGAATCAAATCCATAAGGACAAAAGAACGATGCAGACTCGAAATAACCGGCCAAAATTCCCGTTAGAGTCAACCTTGGACGTACCAACGATACATATGCCCAAGGACACTGAAAGGAAGCCTTGGATAAGGAAGACGACAAGAATAATGAGACACCACCGCAACCCAGTTGTCAAGCTACAAATAAATCCTAGAAAGAAATCTTATTCGGGGGAGGTGTTGGGATGACCACCGAGAAGCCACCCACGTACATAGTCGATTGACTAAGTTATCGATTAATTTATCGATCAGATGTTAAGTATTTGAATAGCAGTCAATTGATTAACTTATTGATGAATGTTTAAGAATTTTTAAATGACAATATTGATTATGTATATAATTTTGTATAAATACTCATGTTTGATTGTATATTTTGATTCTTGTCAATAAGTGCTCACAAACGTCTTTCGTCTTCTTACTTGAGAGCGATTGGAGGTTATAACGTTCGAGTGTCATCCGTTATAGAGTCTTTTCGTGCGTATTCGAGTAGAGAACTTAACAGTAGTAGTACCACAGTAAAAAATTAAGGCGCGAACATAGATTTACCCATTTTTATTTTAATTTATTAATAATCAATTGTCTTTAAAAAATTCTCATAATATTCCCTAATTATAAACAAACATAGGGGTGTAGGTATCCTTAGCAACGTTTGACTTGATCATTTTGAATAAATTGACCATTGACTTGATTGTTATCAGACATAGAGAGAGGGGGGTGTATATGTGTATCTACAAACATACTTATCATTCATATTCTTATTATAAATAATAAACCTCTTTTTATTAATTTTTATATTATCACTGATTAGTCTTTCGTTTTCTCTTCTTTTCTTTTCTTTTCTTTGCTCATTTCTTTTCTTTTCTTTTCTTTTCTTTTTTTGTTTGCTCATTTCTTTTCTCTTCTTTTCTTTTTTTTATTAATTAATTTTTGGGAAACTTTATTATTATTATTATTATTATTATTATTAATTTTTAATGAAATTTATTCAAACAAATGAAATGGGAACGATTCATGCACACAATGGGCTTCTTCTCGTTCTTCTTTTCTTTTTCCTCTTTCTCCTTCTTCTTCTTCTTCTTCTTCTTTCTCTTCTTTTTCTTTCTCTTCTTTTTCTTTCTGTTTTTCTTTTTCCTCTTTTCTATTCAAATTACCTTTTCAGTGAATTAGACAATTTCAATCTCAAATAATAAAAATAAGAATCAATTTTTTTTTGTTTATTTTTATTATTATAGAATAATAATTAAAATAAACTTGACCTGAATTAAACACAGGAAAATATACAAATAGGTGAATAATATTAGTTTCGATTAGATCCACATCAGGCTAGTGGAACTAATTCATGTCGGGTAGAAACAAGTGTCTACTTCAATACAATGGAAGATGGTCGCGTAATTTCAAGGATTAGTTGAGGTTAGACATGAACACCATTGAATGCCAGCCGGCTCAGTGGTCCAGTGGGTTAAGCGTTCACGAGAGGGATCGTGGATGCGCACTGCTGAAGAGTCCCACAATAGGACAAATTGGCCGTCCAGTGATTCCATGTTTTCAATGATGGTCTAACATCAATCGGTTCATGATTTCAATCAAAAATAATGTATTTATATTGCATATATGAAATGAATTAAACTAATCAAAGCCATTTATGAGATGGGTTGTCCACAATGTTTTCTGAAGAAAGATTTGGATGTATCAAACAAAGAAAATAGCAATATTAACAGCTAATAAGAAATCTCTTTTCCTGAAGTTGCAACTTAATGAAGATGTAGCTGGTGAAGTACTATGTGATAGACTGACTAGAGTAGAGAAGAGAACTTTTAATGCAGCTAACCTCTGTCTATCATACTCGACCTGATCTATGATAATTCTTCAACTAAAGGATAAACTACACAGTTATGCCACTTCTATGCGTATATACAAATTCAGCTGCTTCTATGGAGACAGATATATTGGACGCAATATCAGAAAACTGAGCCAAAGAGTTAATGAACACCTCCTATCGTGTTTAAAAAAAAGGTACTGTCAAGACAATACTCAGCCCAGTTCTATCACACTTGATCGATAACAGTCATGTAGTAGACAGAAATAAATCATTTTATTTATCATATTCTTACTAGATATCTATATAGGGTTCAATCTCATCTCCAACCCTTCCCATTCTTTTCTTTTCTCCAATATACATTTCATGGTCTACTTATCTGAACACTTCTTATTACTATCAGAAGGGGTTTTGTGGAGATTTTATCAAGTTTATAGTTGAGTTCATGAGTCAATTGAAACTAGACCACTATGGAAAACCTGGAAGCCCTAGACAGCAGTGAACATCCACGATTCCGCCCTGCGATATTCGAACCCATTGCGTAATCTTAAATTGTTTATGAATGTTATTTTAGTGTTTATATTTCTCAAATCATTGACCTATTTCCCACCATTCAATACTGATTCAAGCCTTTGTTATTGTTTATCACAACTAGTACATTTATCTTTACACTAACAATTTGTATTTTTCACTTCTTTATGTTATCTATCATTGACACATAAACTGCCTTGATTGATTTAATTCATGCATACAAATATTACTGTCTATTAGAGTAAAGCCTAATGAAGATTTAATTGAAAACAATGTTATGGGAATTTTTCAAATTATACACATTATAAACTCAGCCTGGAGCTCATTTGGGACTACTGTCGGTCCAAAGTCGGAATAAAGGAGGAGGGTTGAGCATGGGATTAGCGACCCCATCCTGCAAAAAACTAACTCGCCAACAAAAAAAACACTAACCAGAAAAATAAATTAACAATTGTGAACAACAATTTATTTAAGTGATTATCGTCTAATATTTAACCTGATTTATACTTATAATGTGATATGTACTACTGATATCGACAGATATAAGTAGTATGTATCATCAATTGAAAATGAAATGTCTAGCAGCAGAAAATTAAGAAGATTGAAGAAACGAGAACGTGAACAGTGAATAATTGCTGTGGAAATGAAAGAACAAGAAAGTCTGAGATGATTGACTGATATTTTACAAATGAACTATTTACTGAATAGTTCTTAGATTTTATTAAGAAATTGTGTAATCTTGTATTAGGGAATGGTGGTAAATTAGTTGATGAGGTTGTGAATCTTCTTTGAATGAGATGGATCGACCATGTATTGCGTATGCCTGCTACATGGTATTGGAGAAGGTTGGAAGAAAGTGCTTGAAGTCATTAACTTCTAGTCTGAGTCATGTTGGTAGATACAGTTTACATGGTTGGTGTCCGTGTCACTATCGTAACCAATAGTTGGAGACTCTTGGTGACATAACTGAGAATCGATCACAATGGCGTCGGTATATACACTCTCCGTCTTCCCTTAACCTATGGGATTAGAATCGTTTCATATCTTTCTTTCTTTCTTCCTGTACTATATACTTATATACAATCTGTCTTTTGTACATTACTACCATTCAAGTAACTACTTCTATGAATTTAGTGTTCATCCTGTTGTGCTAATGAGTTATGTCAACTTGGACCGATGCATATATGTGCCTAGTCAACTACATTGTAGCTGATTGACTGAATGAATGTTTTAATAAATACATTCGATCGTCCGCATTTCTCGCTCACTATAATGTATATCACTTCGTTTACTCTTGTGAATAAGGCTATATGAGCATCATCAAGTGTCACTAGCTTAACACCTAATTAACCACTACTGTGAATGATTGTTAAATGGTAAATCAACATCAGTCTACCATTCAATCATTCAACTTATGATTAATCCTGAACACGTATCACTAAAATAATGATCTATCAATTGATAAGAACTAAGTCAATAGGGAGTTTGAATCAAAACTTCAATGACTGTTGAAGTTATCTATACCAATTCAACAATTCAAGCTTAATCACTAAGTACGTAAAAAAACATCGCTGATCGATCAATCGTCAAATAAGAAGATGAAGATTATTAGAACTATGTGATGATGCAATACATTTCGAACAATCTAATCACACATACATATATACATATATATTTACCAAGTCAACTAGACTAGAAATGAAGGTGAAGAGGAGACAAGGATAAATAAAGTAAATAAGAATGTGAAACCTCATCAATTCTGGATAATAAACTACATCTCATTGTACCATGAACTATTCATCTAGTTATGAATTGAAAGGGATAATCATTTTCCATTAATGTTCTCATTATCAATAGCGTTATTTGTACAAATAGGATGCCTTATCAAACCCTATTTGTATTGCATAAGGCAATAACTATAATAACTATGGTATTGATATGTCCACATAGGTTACTTTAAAATGGATCGTTTGATTGAGCCATCTTCTCGTATATCTCTGAAGGGAAGCTAGTCGTACTGTAGGGAACAAGAACATGCACGAGGACAATTGAATGTATTTGGACAGCAAATTACAGAGCATCTCAATAAAATCTGAGAACCATATATAGTAAATGGTTAATTTGCAAAATGTCCATCCATTATCTCAAAATGACTCAGAATTCTTTTGTTCTTGCATTTTCATACACAGTGCATTCTGTTTTCCATTCATTACTTTTGAATCTTCTTGTCTCTCTGCTACCAGACATTCTGTTTACGACTAATATCATATACTACTTATGTCTACATATAAGTAGCACACACCACAGTACTTCTCCTTTTCCCATAAGAGACGAATGTGGTTTTGAAGAGTGTTACGTTTATTCAATAAACAGTTTATATCCTCCTTTCCTTCACAGACAATTAAGATATAGTCCATATATCTCAATTCGTTCTTCATTTTCTCTATACTCGTCAAGTGGGAAAGTATCTTTTACATTTCTTCGGTAAATTCCTAATTCCTGTTGTCTTTTAAAACTATCATCTACCTTCCATGTGATTTCTGAAAACGTTTAATCATTTATGATAACTGTGTTGAACAACCTTACACCAATATACTTTGTTATAGACTATTATGCATAAAAATGAATGACCGTCCAATGCTTCCAGGATTTCTATGATGGTCTAACTTCAATTGACTCATGAATTCAACTATTAAATTAATCTAATGTCCATAAAACCCCTATCTGATGATTACAACTATAAATATGATTCACTTGGTGTTGTTTGAATATTTCTTCTAGTGTTAGCATATGTGCATCCTATGCGGATTGCCTCGATATCACCTTGAGTCATAAGCTTTTTAAACAAAGATCGATAGTGGTTAGCAGTGGAATCTAGGATGCGCATTTTGTCCTATTTGAGATCTAAGGCAATATTGAGGTAATACGCATAGTATGCACATATGCCAACAAAAGACTAATCAATCGCAGTCCTTAATAACAATGGGAAGATACAAGTAAAACAACATCAAGTGAATTTAAACTTCACCTCATTGCAAAAGCAGATGGCTATCGGGACCCAGTAGCTAAGTGGATAGCGCGGTGGCATTTGAAGTGAACGATACTGGGTTCCAGTCTCGGAGTGAACATCAACTTTGGGATACCAGTACATCCAAC